CTAACACAACATTGTAAATCAACTATATTTCAACAGAAATAAATGAGTCAGTCTCTATGGCTTCTTTTTTTTTTTAAATTTCAACCTTGAATTTAATATTTACTTGTTTGGCTGTGCCAGGTCTTAGTTGTGGCATGCAGGATCTTTAATCTTCATTGTGGCATGTGGGATCTTTTTTAGTTGCAGCAAGAAAGCTCTTACTTGTGGCATGCAGGATCTAGTTCCCTGACCAGGGATCAAATCTGAGCCCCCTGCATTGGGAGCTCCTGGTCTTAGCCACTGGACCCCCAGAAAGGTCTTTCTATGGCTTATTCTTATTTACAAAATTTGCAGTCAGCAAAAGTGGGTTCAGTGTACAATCAATGGCACATTAATATTATTTAAATCTTGAAAGTTGTAGGTGTGAAATAACATTTGTTAAATGCATGGTTAGCCAGGAAGGATCACATTCTGTTAGTCTGACTGAAGGGACAGACGTCCTGGCATTTGTCAGGCGGTAGGCATACCCTGTGTTTGTCACGCTGTATCGATGTTGGGTGGACGTATTCTGCTACCCGTCAATAATTAGATCACTCTAAATAAATAGAAACTTATTCTGCTTATTATTGGACCATATCCTTCCCTTCCCAAAGCCTCTTGTAATTGAATTATGCATGTCATGCTGCGTTTATGTTGAGGATCGTTTCCTCTGGTGAACTCCTATCTATCTGTCAGAATTCAGCAAAGGGGTCACCTCCTCACAGAAGCCTTCTGTGTATTCTCCTAATGAAGGTACTTATTCCCTGCTCTGCCTTCCCCTTAAATCTTGTGGAGAACCTGTTCATTAAAACAAAACTAACTATATGAGGTAATAAATGTTAAATTGTTTGCGGCAATCATTTCACAATGTACATCAAATCATCATATTGTTACTTTAACTATATTCCAGTTTTATTTGCCAATTATATTTCAATACAGCTGAAAAAAATAAAATCCCGATAAGCAGCTAGAAAATCAACTTGCATAGATTTCTGCTGCTGCTGCTCAGTCACTTCAGCCGTGTCCCACAGTTTGCCACCCCATGGATTGTAGTCCGCCAAGCTCCTCTGTCCTTGGGATTCTCCAGGCAAGGATACTGGAGTGGGTTACCATGCCCTTCCCTAGGGGAACTTCCCCATTCAGGGATCGAACCTGCGTCTCCTGTCTCCTACATTGCAGGTAGATTCTTTATTGGCTGTGCCACCAGAGAAGTCCTGCATAGATTTCTACTGTTGCACAAATTAGATGTTTAAAAATTACAAAGTGTTTCAAACACAAAAAGTTACAGAGAAATAACTTCGCAGACACCTGCATACCCATCATTTAGAGTTAAATAAAAACATTTTGCAATATTTGTATCAGATATCTTTTTCAAACAACTAACTATCTAGTTACAAATATGGCTAAAACTATGCCCTCTCACTCCATTTCTTTCCCTCCCTCTTTGAGAGTAAAGAATAAGAAAAAAACAAGGTTGAATCAAGCTCAGAAAAGCAATCAGCATTTCTTTGTGCATCTTTTGCTAGTTCTCAGAATCCTGATGCCATCTAGAGGAAGAAACCCCATTACAAAAGGTGTCAGAGAACTAGATGACTGCTGATGAATCAATGAAGCAAGAATAATGACAGTGACTGACGGTAGGGACCATCTTTGAAGAACTGAGGGTAGAGATGGTCTTTGATGTTTCTCATGTTCTGAAAGCTACACACTAAGCTTATGTTGAATTATACACTGGTAAATGTCTAATCCACCTTTTTGAGCATGCTTGTCATGACCTCAACAAAGTGGAAATAATCAAAGCCAACCACATTTAGGAATGTTAGACATTAGGAAGGGAAGGGGGCTTCTCTGGTGGCTCAGCAGTAAAAAATTCTTCAGCAATGCAAGAGGTGTTGGAGATGCAGGCTTGATTCTTGGGTAGGGAAGATCCTCTGGAGGAGGAAATGGCAACCCACTTCAGTATTCTTACCTGGAGAATCCCATGGACAGAGGAGTCTGCCAGGCTATGGTCCATAGGATCACAAAAAGTCGGACACGACTGAAGCAACTTAGCCCACATGCACACAGGAAGGGAAGGAGAACCCAACATTGTAGGTTGTGCTAACGTCAGTTTCCAGGGGAAGACATCAGGATCAGAAGGAAATTTGTTGGCTTTCAGTAGATTCACAATGAACTGAAATAAAATGAACGAAATGCCCTGCACACTCTAGAGGCCATGCTCCAAAACACAAGAAGCCACTGCAATGAGAAGCCTGCATGCTGCAACCAGAGAAAGCCTGCATGTAGCAACAAAGACACAGAGCAGCAAAAAAAAAAAAAAGATATTAAAAAAAAAATGAACCAATGAATGAGTGAATAAATAAATGAACTGGTGTGTACTCAACTACCAAAGAGAAGGACATCGCTCACTATCTCTCTTTACCTTCTGCTGAGGAACTAGAGCTAAGTCCATGTACCCGTCCTCAATCAATGAATCTTGATAAACTTTCTCCCTTCTTCTCCTATTTTTATATTTTAGTTTCTGATTTTCCTCTTGTTTCATGCTTTTTGATATTACTGTCCCTACAGTTTTATTATACAATGCTTCCAATCTTCTCTGGAAGTTGACAAGGTTCTCAGTTGTGGCACGCGGAATCTCAGATCTATGTTGTAGCATGCAGGATCTTTTAGTTGCGGCATGTGGGATCCAGTTCCCTGACCAGGGATCGAACCCCAGCCCCTCTGAATTGGGAGCATGGAGTGTTGGCCACTGGAGCACCAGGGAAGCGGCTATGCAGTTTCTGATTGAGTTTCTATGCAAGACATACCAGTGACATTAGGATTATGTATGAAGATGTAGAGGATGAGCTCCATCCTTGCAGTCTGACAGATCTGGGTTCAAGTCACTTAACTTCTCTGAACTTGAATTTTCTCCTTTTGACAAAGGAGATAAAACACATGGCTCTCCGTGGCCATTTTGACACTAAAGTAAATTTTGAAGTTACGTTAAAGACGTCAATATAAGAAATAAAAAAACTTAAAGTCGTCCATTTTCAAGAAAAGCTAGCTCTGGGTGACAGCTGGCTGATGTAATAATAGCTGATAGTCCTAAGAAAACTAGAAAGTCTGGGCAAACAAAGGGAGGGTGGGATGCCTAGGATTTTCACGCGGGTTCATTCTATTGGTGAATGCAAAACATAAGAATGGGATTAGGGTTTTGTGCGGGTTCATCCTATTGGTGAGTTCAAAATGTAAGAACAGGAATAGGTGTACAGGAAAGGAGAAAACAAGATACAAGGCAGGGGCCAGCCCATAAAAAGGGAGGGAACAAACCTAGGCAATATCCAGGAAGATTGTTCACCCATAGTGCTCAGCCAATGAGGAACTGGGGGAGGGACCTGTGTGCTAGGGATAAGGTGCTCAGTGTAACAACTCTGGGTGTGCCTGTCCACCAGACACCGATCTTGCAAGACCATCACTAAAGAATCGCTTCTGGCTGCAGCTTGTTTCTCCAAGTCCATTCTTTGAGTTGAGGCCAGTGAGCATGTTTCTTGCATTAATAATAATCATAAGATCCAGCAATTTCACTTATGGGTATATACCCAAAAGAACTGAAAGCCAGGACTAAAAAATTCTTGTATTCCAATGTTCATAGCAGCATTATTCACAACAGCCAAAAAGTGGAAACCACCAAGAGGCCATCAATGGATGAATGGATAAACATAATATGGTATAAACCTATGACAGAATATTATTCAGCCTCACAAAGGAATCAGATTCTGATACAACATGGATAAACCTTGAAAATGTGCTAAGTGAAAAATTAGCCAGAAACAAAAGGACAATTACTGTATGATACCACATATGAGGTACTTAGTACAGGCAAATTAATAGATATAGAAAATAAAATAGAGGTTACCAGGAGCTAGGAGAAGGGAGTTATTGTTTACAAAGTTTCTGTCAGGGATGATGGAAAAGTTATAGGGATGGACGGTGGTGACGGTTGCAGAAAAATGTGGATATACTTAAAGCCATGGAACTAAAAGTGACTAAGGGATTTCTCTGGTGGTCCAGTGGCTAAGATTCTGAGCTCCCAATCAGGGGTTGTGGGTTTAAACTCTGGTCAGGGAACTAGATCCTACATGCTGCAACTAAGAGTTCTCATGCTGCAGCTAAAAATCCCGAGTGCCGCAACCAAGGCCTGGAGCAGCCAAATAAATAAATATTAAAGTGACTAAAATGGTAAATTGTGTTACATATATTTTACCCTGATTCTTTAAAAAATAGACATATAAAGCTAGTTATTTTTGTTAATAAAATATCATTGCTATTATTACATATTTGTGTAATATACACATGATTTCATAGGCTAGCTGTGCAGCTTTAAACTACTGAACCAAGTTGGAGTTTTCCTCTTTCCACCTACAACATACCTTTCCCAGCAAGAGGTCTGTAGAAATGCTGGGAAGGGCGGGGGAATGGGGATCCTGGAATGAAAGGTGTGGGGCTCTTAGGTGTCAGACCTCACCAGCACTACGTTCATACCTCAGGAATCATGAACCCTTATTTCTGCAGAATGAATCAACTTTTCACCTGAGTCAGCAGATTACTATCAGACTTTCTCTCAGCTCTCCAACACGGGTCTTTTACATCCACAAAGGGGATGTGATGAGATAATCATTAGCACTGAGACAGCTATTTCAAATGTAAATCAATAAGCCAGTGGAACCTGGGGACTGCTGCTATGGAGACACCTTTTAATGGCCCCACTCTGGTAACACAGGGACAGTTAGGCTATGCTGGCTGAGGAAATAGGCAAGAGCTTCGGTCCAGGGGGCTTCATTCTACTTCAGGGAGACAAACCCATTTAAAGGGACCCCAGGCATTCAGCAATCATTAAACTTCCTGGATAGGACATGGTAGGCACCAGGATTCAACTAAGAGCTCTGAAAACAAGCATTTGCTTCAGATGAATGGAAAAGTGACATACATGGTTTACTCACAGAAGCATCTCTCTGAATTCTGAAGAAACCAGAGCAACAGGTTTTTGTAGCAATTCATCAGAAAGGCAGATAATACACAGGAGCAGAGAGGAAGCCAATTTCATGACAAGAACCGATTTCAGGTTGATTGATTAAGACGGAGTTCTCAGGCTCAAAGTCGTAATCTCCTTGGCATCACCAAGTTTTAACAATATTGTAAGCAGGTAGGGCAGGGAGTCCCTGGAGAAAGAGGACCAGGCATGACTTTTGTAGGCTAAAAAAAAAATATTAGTCATAACCTGTGACTAAATAAGAGAGTTATTTTATTTGGTGGGAATGTTAAGGACTTGAGTCTGGGAGACAGTTTCAGGTGACTCCTGAGAGAGCTGACTCTGAGGAGGTGGGGTAGGAGCCAGGCTACATACAAGTTTGCAGTAAGGGGCAGGAAATCTGAATATCAAAAGATTAACAAAACTGAAGAGAATCAGTGATCTTCTGTGTATAGGAATATGAAAGCGTCCAGTCTTGCTGAAATCATTTCTTCCATATGCATCTAGCTATCTGGGGCCAAAGTTGCTTTCTTGATTGTTCACATCCCAGTTCCTTGTTTACCAGAAGAGCACAGAGCAGAAGACATTTCACAATTTCTTGACATAAAAGAAGCCATTTTTGGCCTAAGCCGTGTTGTGAAGTAAGCCTGCCCACCAGGCTTGCCCTTGAACAGGGCTCTCGGAAATGGGGGGAGCACAGGAACAAAGGATAAGCAGTCAGGAAACCATAGTTCAGCGGTAAGACAGAGTCCCAGTTCTTCCTCAAGGGAGGAACACTCTGATAACAAACTCTGAGTTCTGCAGTAATTTGGGTGGAGAACGGCATGGTGCTGTGGACCCTTGTGACTTTGATCAGCTAAAGCTTGGCCTCTGTGACGTGGCTCCAACTCCATCCTGACTTCTCCTCTGCTCAGGCCTCTTAGTGAACATGCATAAACCCTTACAGTAAAACTTCCCCAATTTTGTTGTTCAGGGAGACGTTGCTTAGGGAATGATCCCCGGTGTCTTCTTTACTTGTGGCAGGTAATAAATCTTTTGACTCGACACCTACCCAGAGGTGAGCCTAGTTTTTCGGGTTATAATATCACCACCATCATCACCATTTGTAGTAATTCCGTCTTTCCTTACCTTTATATCCTGCACAGTGCAGTCTTTGTTTATGCATTTGTGACTCATTGAGACCCCTTTTCTCTGCTTCTTTTCTGCTTGATGTCAGCTCTTAGGTAATTTCATTCCAAGGGGTATTTTCATTAATCTAGACTTTAAAAAACACAGAAATACCATTAAATTTGGTGACAGTATGTTACAACTGAGAACAGACTAAAAACCACTGAACAGGACCCTTTATTTTATCTTTTTGAACAGGACCCTTTAAATGGGCAAACTGTATGGCATGTGAATTAAATCTCAATAAAACAACTCTTAAAAAAAACACAACACATAAAATGAGAAAGGCTAGCCAGAGTGCAGAACCAGTAAATTTATCACAGTGTTTGTTGCCAATTTTGACAAAATGTTTGCTGGGTGAGGAAATTAAAACAAGCCATGTATTTTCTGTTCATTATTGCTATCTGGTTCCAAATTTCTATCAATAAGTCAGAATTGACTGTACTTAGCAAAATCAACATGCTGGTGGGAGTGGAGGCAGGGATAAATTAGGAGTTGGGGATTAACATATACACACTACTATATATAAAATAGATAATAAAGGATCTACTGCACAGGGAACTAACCATACTCAGTATTTTGTAATAACCCAAAGGGAAAATAATCCAAAAATATATATACATATATCTATGTAGATATAGATACACACACACACACATTCACACACTTGAAACTGACACTTATTTGTAAATCAACTATACTTCAATTTAAAAAAACTTTTTAGGAGGAGAATTCCCTGGCCTTCCAGTGGTCAGGACTCCAAGGTTCCACTGCAGGTGGCATGAGTTCTATCCCTGGTTGGAGACCTAAGATCCCATATGCCGCCAGGTGCCACCAAAAAATAAATTCTTTTTAAAAGAATGAAAACAACTAGACCAGTGGTTCTCAAGCCTGGCCCCACAAGGAAGCCTTGCGTGGAATGTACTTAAAATGCATCAGTGTCCATGGTCCTACCTCAGACCAAGTATATGAGAATCTAGATATGGGTTGGGTTTAAAGTTTCCCCAGGTAATTTTCATGTGCAACCAACAATGCAAACCACTAGTTTAAGAGATCCACTTTCCACAGTGAGATACCACTTCACACTCATGAGGATAAGTATTATTTAAAATAACAAAACCAGGGTTTCACTGGTGATTCAGTGGTAAAGAATCCACCTGTCAATGCAGGAGACACGGGTTTGATTCCTGATCCAGGAAGATTCCACAGGCTCAGGAGCAGCCAAGTCTGTGCACCACAACTATTGAGCCTGTGCTCTAGAGCCCCAAAGCTGCAACTACTGAAGCCTATGTGCCTAAGAGCCCACGTTCTGCAGCATAAGTCACCACAATGAGAAGCCCACACACCGCAACTAGAGAGCAGCCTCCACTCTCTGCAACTAGAGAGTCCCGCAGGCAGAAACGAAAACCCAGCATAGCCAATAAATAAATAAATAAATAAATAAAAAGATAATAACAAAGCAAAACCAGAAAACTACAAGTGTTGGTGAGGATATGGAAAAACTGGAGCCCTTGTGCGTTACTGGTGAAAATGTAAAATGGTACAGCCACTGTGGAAAAAAAGCATAGCAGTTCAAAAAATTAAACACAGAGTTACCATATGATTCTGCAATTCTACTTCTATGTATATACATAAAAGAACTGAAAGCAGGAACTTGAGCAGATATTTGTACACTCATATCCAAAACAGCAGTATTCACAATAGCCCACAGATGGAAGCAACCCAGTACCTACTGACTGATGGATAAACAAAATGTAGTATATAGAGACAATGAAATATTATTCTACCTTAAAGAGGAAATTCTGAAAAAAGGAAATAAATTTTAATATAAACATAAACGAAACTGGAAGACATTATGCTAACTTAAGTACAGTATTTGTCACTATAGGTTTCTATGAGGCATCTGTGTGTGTGTATGCGTGTGTGTTAGTTGCTCAGCCACGTCTGACTCTTTGCGACCCAGTGGACTATACCCTGCCAGGCTCCTCTGTCCATGGAATTCTCCAGACAAGAATACTGGAGTGGGTTGCCATTTCCTTCTCCAGGGGATCTTCCCGACCCAGGAAGAGGACCGGGATTTCCTGCATTACAGGCAGATTCTTTCCCTTCTGAGCCATCAGGGAAGACCTATGAGACATCTAGAATGTTCAAAATCATAGACACAGAAAGCAGAATGGTGGTTGGCAAGGCCTGGGGGAGGGGAGGATGGGGACTTACTGTTTAATGAATACAGAGTCTCAGATTGGAAAGACAAAAAAGTTCTGAAGATGGATGGTGGTGTTGACTGCACAACAGCATGAACGTACTTAATGGCACTGAAATGTACACTTACAAATGGCTGAAGTGGTACATTTTTTATGTTATCTCTATTTTACGATAAAAAGGGAGAGATCTCCTTTTCAAGAATGGGAACGTGATCCAAGTTCTGGCCAGTGACATGGGAGGAGATATCTCATAGAGAGATTCTGAAAAAAGTTTCCTCATTCCTAGAAAAGGGCTGCAGGGCAAGATGCTCTCTTTTACTTCTCTGGGCGTGGCATCTGGAACTTGCTCTTATCTGGAACCCTGCAGCCATCTTGGGGCCGGCCTGAGAATGAAGTCAACACCCAAGGCAGCAGACAGATGGAAAGATGTAGGTCACTGGTGATGTTATCAAGCTCCCAAACCAATGGACAAAGAAGTCAGTCCTATCTTAGGGTCTATAGTTAAGTAGGAAAATACATTTCTTAAAGTTAAATATACTTTGAGTTGAAATTTCTCATGCTCTACCAACTGAGCTAGCTGGGCGGCTCTTTTGAGTTGAAATTTCTATAACTTGGTTCTGAAAGGATCCCAACACTTGTATAATTATTGTTGGTATAACAAAAAATTGGAAATAACCTAAAAGTTTAGGGAAATGGGTGAATTTAAAAAAGATGTATAAACATAGATGGAGTTATTATATAGTAGTTAAAAGATAAACACATGAAGTGAAAGACAGATTTTGCATATTATATGTAAAATTTAAATACAGTGTATTTTTCATTGACTTATATGTATATATGTCTTTAGATAGATGGATCTCATAGGGGTTCCCTGATAGTTCATTAGGTAAAGAATCTGCCTGCAAAGCAAGAGACCCCGGTTCGATTGCTAGTTGGGAAGATCCCCTGGAGAAGGGATAGGCTACCCACTCCAGTGTTCTTGGGCTTCCCTTGTGACTCAGCTGGTAAAGAATCCACCTGCAATGTGGGAGACCTGGGTCTGATACCTGGGTTGGGAAGATGCCCTGGAGAAGGGAAAGGCTACCCACTCAAGTATTCTGGCCTGGAGAATTCCATGGACTATACAGTCACATGTATATGTATATGTCACAAAGAGTTGGACATGACTGAGCGACTTTCACTTTCAAATATATAATAGTGGTTGCCTTTTTGGAGGGGATAGAATGGGACAGAGGTGGGAGTAAACAGGTGGTGTATGCACTGGAATTGTTCTATTTCTGATTTTAAAACATGAAACAAGATGATATGTTAAAAATCGACAATACTGGGATTGTACGTAGGTATGTGAGTACTTATGATTCTTTGTACTATTCTATACTTACAAAATTCTCAAAAAGAAAAAAAAAAATGGTTCCCTAATGCTACCCCTGGCCCAAACAAAATTAATTAAGAAGGACAGAAAAAAAATATTTTGGTAAAGACTATGGAACTTAAACTAATGTCTGTATTAGTTTGAGTTCAGAAAATATGTTTTTTTGTTTGTTTGTTATCTAAGAGGTTTTTCATTGGTTTTTGGTGGTACCACACGGCATTCAGAATCTTAGTTCCCCAACCAGGGATGGAAGCTGTGGCCCCTGCACTTGAAGCGTGGAGTCTGAGCCACTGGAATGTCAGGGATGTCCCAGTATGTTAGTCTTTAACCTTTTAACTTTTTATTTTGAAGTAACCATATGCTCATAAGAATTTGCAAAAACATTACAAAAGGTCCAATGTACCCATTACCCAGTTCTCCACCATGGCAACCCCTTACATAAAACTATAACACACTATCAAAACCAGGAAACTGTCATTGCCACAGTACAATTAAGTAGCCTTGACACCTTACTGGGACTTCCCCTGTTTAACCTTTCTTTTATTTTTAATGTCTTTAAGTTACAAAAGCAATTTGCTCATTGACAAATTAATGGATAAACAAGAAGTGGCACATCCATATAATTGAATAGTACTCCATCATAAAAAGGGATAAAACACCAATACATACTACAACAAGGAGATTAAACCAGTCAACCCTAAAGGAAAACAACCCTGAATACTCAAGGAAGGACTTATGCTGAAGCTGGAGCTCCAACACTTTGGCTACCTGATGTGAAGAGCTGACTCATCAGAAAAGGCACTAACTCTGGGAAAGATTGAAGGCAAAAGCAGAGGATGAGATAGGTAGCATCACCAACTCAATAGACATGAATCTGAGCAAACTCTGGGAGACAGTGAAGGACAGACAAGCCTGGTATGCTGCAGTCTACAGGGTCCCAAAAAGTCGGACACAACTGAGCGACTAAACAATAACATACTACAACATGGATGAATTTTTGAAAATAGTTTGCTAAGTGAAAGAAGTCAGACACAAAAGGTTATATATTGTATGATTCCATTTATATGAAAGGACCAGACTAGGCAAATCCTAGAGATAGAAAGGAGATTGGTGAGTTCAGGGGCAGTGGGGAGAGGAGATGAGGATCAGGATGCTATGGGAATGGGGATTGTTCCCACAACAGTTATGGGTTTCCTTATGCCATGATGAAAAGGTTTTGGAACTAGATAGAGGTGAAGGTTGCACAACACTGTAAGCTCACTAATTACCACTGAATTGCTTACTTATTTTAAATGGTCAATTTTATGCTATGTGAATTTCATTTTACTAAAAAAAATTTTTATAAACAATTTGCTTGTTGTAGGAAAATCTAAACATAAAGGCATAAGTACAAAATTATCATTTCTTTTCCCAGCTGCTCATCTCCATGTCCAATCCCATCCTACAAATATACCTTCCCTTAACTGTTTATTTTTTTGATTTTTTTTTAAGTTAATGAGGGATGTCTTATAGGGAGGAGGTCTTTTATTTTTATTTTTTTATAATTGCATTTTATTTATTTTTGGGTGTCCTGGACCTTCGCTCCTGCACTTAGACTTTCTCTAGCAGCAGAGACTGGGGGCTACTCTCTAGTTGCTGCGCCCAGGCTTCTCATTGCAGTGATTTCTCTTGTTGTGGAACATGGGCTTTGGAGCTCACAGCCTTCGTAATTGTGGCATATGGGCTCAGTAGCTGCAGTTTCCAGGCGCTCTCAAGCACAGGCTCAGTAGTTGGGGCACATGGGCTTAGTTGCTTCACAGTACGTGGGATCTTTCTGGATCAGGGATCAAACCCGTTTCCTGCAACGACAGGTGGATTCTTTATACTGAGCCACCAAGGAAACCCCCCCTTAACTGTTTATATATATAAAACTCTCTTTTTATATATATAAATATATAAACTCTCCAAACTAAAAAGCTTTATAGCACCCAGAGAGATACATATGTTTCCTTCTTGCCGGGAGGTTTACTGAGGACTTTATACCCACGTGAGCCAATGGTTAGGTGATGGGAAACTCAATGGTGAATCAGACAGGCTGGAGGAATTAATTTTCTAGTAAGGGATGGGCAGTAAGCTTGGGAATGAATGCGATTTTCAGTTGTGGTAAACGCTGTGAAAAAATAAAAGTGGGTAAGATGGTAGAGAGTGATGTGGGTTGGTGGAGGGACAGGGTGGCTAGGAGAGGTCTCTGAAGTGAATGACAACAGCTAGGGAGGTGAAGATTTAGGGAAAGAGAATTCAAGACAGAGGAAATAAAGCTAGATATCTTGGGATTTCTCTGGCGATCCAGTGGCTAAGGCTCCACCCTCCCAATGCAGAGGGCCCAGGTTCTATCCCTGGTCAGGGAACTGGATCCCACATGCTGCAGCGTAGAGTTCACATGATACAACTAAAGATTCCAAATGTTGCAACTCAGACCTGGCACAACCAAATAAACAAATAAAAATAAATATTTTTAAAAGCTAGATATCTTTACATAAATAAGACTGTATACTAAGAATGGTGATCCATTACATATTTATACACATATTAGATATCTTGCTTTCCCCCTTCTTTACTGTTTATTACACATGTATTTCCAAGTTGGCCTCATAGCTAAATGTTATCTCATAATATTGAGATACCATCACTTACTTATGGGCTTCCCAAGTGGCGCTGGTGGTAAAGAACCTGCCTGCCAATACAGGAGACACCGGAGATCTAGGTTTGATCCCTGGGTCAGAAAGATCCCCTGGAGAAGGAAATGGCAACTCCACTCTAGTATTCTTGTCTGGAGAATCCCAAGGGCAGAAGAGCCTGGTGGGCTACAGTCCATAGGGTTGCAAAGAGTCAGACATGAGTGAGGCGACTTAGCACGTGCTACATACATCACTTACTTAACCACTTCTTTCTTCATGGACATTTAGGTTGTCTCCAGTTTGGAGCTGTTGCTATTCCACAACATACTCTATATTCCAATTCCAGGGCCCTCAGGGTGATTCCTCTCGTTGTCAACTAACTTTGTGTGTGCATCACAGGGACTGCCAGGATGTCCTTGGAAAACCAATTCTTAGAGTTGAGAATCCTGTGCCTCAATAGCCTCAATGAGTATAAAAGGGCAGTATTGTCCCAGATTGCCTACTGATTTCCCTATTCATTCATCTAACATTTATTAAGAATGTTTTCTATGCCAGGCATTACACTGAGCATTATAAATATAAAGAAGATGAACAAAAGAGTCTAACCTCAAGTTGCTCAGTCTTAGCACAATGATAATTATCAAGACATTGTAAATCAATTATACCTCAATTTAAAAAAAGGAAAATATAAAAAAAGCTTCTCCCTCTTCTGCTTGGAGCAGTATCTCTACCCAGGCAGGTTAAGGCTTTTGAAAACCAATAGAGTGGATTCTTTCCTGAATAATTATCCTATTCAGGGACAGTTAATGACATTAACTTTTCTAAGCTGCAGTCTTAGTAGTTTCTCCATCGCTAGGAAAAATACACCAAAGAAACTCTGCTGATTTAATTAGATGTGAAGAACTAACCTATCAGAGTGATCACCCAGTGCCCTCAGGGTGATTCCTCTTGAAGTGTGGTATCCGATGACACGGGGTTGGAGAAGGACACTGTGGTTCACTATTTGAGTCAGCTGCTTGTGTTGACATTTTCTTAGGAGCAGGTTGCTGAGAGCAAATCTTGACTGCAAGGGCACTTCAGGCACTTTATTTTGGATACATTGTATTTTCTTCTTGTGACTCTGATTCAACAGCAAAGGTGGCCTCCTATATATGAAAGAAGGTCTGGTTTTTATATCAATCATTGATAAATTCTCTGTAAACCTGAGGACAATCCACTTAACACCAAGATTAAAGCGGAACATATAAGATTCAGTGGGATCATCAGAGAACTATTATTAATAGGCTGTAACCAGAACTTTGTATTAATGAGAGGAATAAATCCTCTGTTATGGGGGGAAGGCGGGGAGGGAATTAAGGTCCAGAAAATTTCAGGGAACATGAACCACAGACCTGTCCAGAAGCTTAAATCCAGTCTCCTGATAAAAATTGAAGTTTCTGGTTTCTTTACATTTATTGGGCTCAATTTCCCAAGTGTTATGTGTTAAAGAAACAAAGCAACCAGCAAATTTGCTAATTTCATATTAAACATAATTTCAAACCACTTTAGAGTAGGATTCGTTCTCAAAGGTAACTGACAGCTTTGCTTTTGATTTGTCTCATTAGGCTGGGTTCTCTTTATCTTTAAAACAGACATTTAAAGTTAAAAATAAATCTAGATTTGGGATCTTCACATAAGGTTCTTAAGAAACATTCTGTGTTCCCGCTTGTACACCGTAATTTCTATTGAGCTGGTTAGTTGCACTCTGTCTAGACTTCTTGGAGAAAAACATCAACAATATGTTTTTCTCGGTCTTGGGCTCCGCAAGGGTGAATTACAGGAAAACTTAACAGGTACCTTCCTACTTGAAGCAGTTGGATCTATATATTTATCTTTTGCTTTTCCCCCCCTTTCCCATTTTTACCAAACGGCAACTGGCAGCAGTCAATAAAGTACTTCGGGAAAAAAAACTTCGGCCATTCAAAATAAAACTACTTCACCGGAAGGTGTATAATGAAGCACAAAAATAACCCTGTTAGGTGGGACTAGCTGGTTACATCATGCAATATGGTAATCCTCTATTTAATTTACAAAGCCCTTGGCCGAGAGGAGGAAGGGATGGAAAAGTTTGAGTGAAGGCTTTAAAGGACTAGTCATACAGACAGTGAGTCACTGTAAGTTTCCAGTTAATAATCCCCTCTGCCGGGCTGGGCTTTATGAGCCACAAAGCAGTTTAAGTGGTAATGGCTCACAGTTTTATGGTATCTTCTACCAAATGAATACAGAAAATGAAAGACGCCCTGAGTCGTCTTTGAAATGTAGGGCAAATTCTGACTGGGGGCAGGGAGGAGGAAGGTGGAAAGAAAGAGAACGAGGTAGGATTTCTGTGAGGCAGGGAACGCAGGGGGCTGGTGAAACGAGAAGGGAACGATTTTCAGGAGTTGATGGCTTTTCTCTCCACCTTGGAACTGCTGTTCATTTTCCCGCGTTCCGTGCAGAACAGGACGGAACTGGCCACTCCCGCGACCTGAGAGGCTCGCGGTCCGCCACCCCGCTCCGAGTCGCGCCAGGGCTCGCTCCCACCCCCGCCCCCACTCGGTGACAGGTGGGGCAGCCGTGCGGCAACCAGACCTCCGCCTCCTCGCGCTGCCTGCCGGGAGCTGGCGCCGCTTCCGGTTGCTCTCGGCCCCGAACTCCGACTCCCGTCGGCCCCCGGGAAAACCGCAGCGGGGTCGCGCGGGCGCTGCCGGAACTCGTAGTTCCGCCTTCTGCAGCGCTTCATAAGCGGAAACGGGGTCGCCCGGAGCCGAGAACTACCGAGGCGAAGGTACGGGTGGCGGCGAGGGGTCAATTCGCGCCGGGCGTGGGGTTGGCGCTGAGACGGTCGGAGGTGGTTGGGGCTGGGTGGGAGGAGATCAGCGCGCACACACGAGGAGGGTTGAGTCGCCGCCGCTGCCGCTGCCGCCGCCGTCGCGAGTGCGGAGTCGGGACTTGAGCTGCCCCGGCGACGACGCCGGGAATTGTGCCGCTAGCCCCCGGCCCTTCTGCCTTGCCGCTTTCCTGGGTCAGCGCGGCCTGCTCCTCCCCAGCCCGTCGCCCCCGCCTCCATTTCCCGCCCTCTCTTCACCACACACACGGCCCCCCCGATCATGGATCCCGGCAGTGGTGGCGGTGGTGGTGGCGGCGGCGGCGGCGGGAGCAGCAGCAGCAGCGACTCGGCGCCCGACTGCTGGGACCAGGCGGACATGGAAGCCCCCGGGCCGGGCCCGTGTGGCGGCGCCGGCGGCCCCTTGGCGGCGGCAGCGGTGGCCGAGGCCCAGCGTGAGCACCTCAGCGCGGCCTTCAGCCGGCAACTCAACGTCAACGCCAAGCCCTTCGTGCCCAACGTCCACGCCGCCGAGTTCGTGCCGTCCTTCCTGCGGGGCCCGGCTCAGTCGCCGGCATCCCCAGCTGGCGCCGCCGCCAACAACCACGGAGCCGGCAGCGGCGCGGGAGGCCCTTCGGGTAAAGGGCCGGGACGCGGATCAGCCCCCGGAACGGGAGGAAGCCGTGCTGCGAGGGCTGGGGCAGCTGGCCTGGGGGCCGGAGCCCACCTGGGACGGGGCCCGGGGTGGGGTCGGGGGCGCGCCTCGCCCTGCGGGGGACGCGTGGCCGTGGGGCCGGGAGGCACGTGGGGCGCTGACAGCGGCGCCGGCTGTCCTGGGTGGGGCGACCCAGGGCCGGGGAGGCGGCCTACGTGGGGCGACCGCGGCGGGGGGGCGGTGGGAGCAGGGTGCGGGGCGCACCGGTGGGGCCTGGGGTCCGCCTCTCACCGCCCCCCGCAGGGGCGCAGTTCCCCGCTGGGAAGTGGGAACCGTATGGGACGGAGAGGGGCTCAGTGCCACGAGGCCTAGAAGCCAGGACAGATGGAGCCAGGAGTCGGCCGGATGGGCGTTGAGAGCGCTGAGGAGTTGGGGCGGACGAAAGCTCGCGTTTTCCCTTCACCTTGGGCCTAGGCGAGAGAGCTTCCCCCGCTGCAATGCCTGTTATCGAAAGTGTAATTACGTTTTAAATGTCCACGGACCCGAACAGTCCCGAAGGAATCCCAGGATGCATTGCAGCCCTGACACCGGGCCGAAACTGTTGGCTGTCAATAGATCCTTAGCATTTTGTAAGCTTGTGAAGTTACCAGAGTGTCCCAAAGTTAGAGCTCTTCACTTAACATTCAATTGTGTAGGAAATGACGTTGATCTGTGTGCCCTTTTTAAAGTGGGCCTTGGATTCTTCCCCTTAGTTGATGACACGTTTAGAATTTTTGTTGCGTTAAAAATCGTTTGTCTCATTCAGGTTGCTTGGTGTAACTCATTCTCTGTGTTCTTGTGTCAGGAGTTAGTCTGTTCAGACACCTGAGCATTTGTTAAAACTTCTTAGGAGTCATATGCAGTTTTGACCATGGCTAGTCGAGTGACTTTCTGTGACTTCAAGTTAAGTCTTCAAAAATCTCCCTGTACTTAGGGGATGCTTAAGTGATAGCATGCTTTCAGGTACTGATTTTGTAGGAACGTCAAATGAGTGAACTTGATTCCTCTCTGAAGTTCTTTGTTGTCCTATTTCTTGAATAGGTAGATATTGTAAAAGTGCTCTAGGAGTTTAGTTTCTTCAAAAACTTTGTCTGCAGTTTTCTCTCTCAAGGCAAAAAGAGAGTTTGGGAAAATGCTTTTGGGCACACAGTTAGACTTAGTTATTTTATTGACTGGTATTTCTTTTACTTGTGTGAAGCCATTGATGTTTTCTCTTTAAACAGATGTTTTCCCTTTAAACAGAAGCTTAACTTTGCTTACTCCTTTGGTCTACATAAACTCGTTCACTTACCAACTCCTAAAAGTGCCTGTTTCCCCAAACCTTATCATGCAGTTTGCTCTTATCGGCCATTTTCTTTTTTGACCCTCCCTTGTAAATCAGGAGTTACTAGTATCACTGTGACTAGACCTCGGACTCCAATTCCAGCCTATGTAGCCATCAGCCAGTCATCAAGGGATGACAATCCTTAGAGCAGTGGTCTGGAAGGGTGGTCATTCTTGAATGAGTAGGCATTGCCTCTTACGAAGGACTGTCTTTTCCCTTCCTGATATTTATTTGCTGATTTGAAGTTTTACTCTTATTCCTTTCCTCTGTGACACTGACAGAAGTTGGGATGTAGAATGTGTAGGGAAGTAGTTGTCCCTACCTTAGGAATCCCTACATTATGGTCAGTTTTCTCTTTCCTTCTTTTTTTAAAATCAGAAACCTATTTTGGTGTTACTGACTCTTACTAGCTGTTTCTACAAAATGCCAGTTAATATTAAAAGAACAACAACTCATCCATCCTCTGTAGGATGTCTATTTGGGAAAGAATGGATGGTCCCGAGTTAATGTGGCACTATTGGATTGCATGTTCCAGCATATATTCAGGCCCATAGATTATACCAGCATAAGAGCAAAGAACTGTGTTTGGAAGAAGCAGGGAGAACACTGAAATGGCACTTAGGTTGAAATTTGTGAAGGGGAAGCCCATAAAGTGTGCAGGTATTTTTTAGTGAGGAAATCAACTGTAGGGCTAGCATGTTTTCTTCTGTTATTAAGTCATAGCTAAAACTGGTGGTGGATGTGTTTTTAAACTGGATAGCAGGAGAGCTCTTGAAGGAGTCTAGCGACAGAGCACTGTCAGGAACGACTGTATTTCGTTATTTATGGCTGCGCTGGGTCTTTTCTCCTGCGTACGGGCCTTCTCTCGTTGCGGAGCGGGGCCTCTAGGTACTCAGGCTCAGTAGTTCTGGTGCAAGGACTTACTTGCTCCACCGCTTGTGGGGTCTTCCTGGACCAGGGATTGAACCCAGGTCATCTGCATTGGCAGGCAGATTCTTAAGTACAGGACCACCAGGGAAGCCCTAGAATTAACAGCTTTTAAAATGTGCGTAGGATGAATATCTGTCATTCTCCTGAAAGAAGGCTAGTTTTCTCTTTTTCTCTCTTCCTTTTTTTTTTCCCCAGTGGTACTTGGAGCAACTGGTAAGGGGAGATCACAAAAAGTCATCCACTTTCACTGGTAGGCTGCTGGTTAATCCTTATATCCAGCTAAAGGATATCCTGAGTCACAGCTTGGGATTCAGTGTTGACCTTGGATCTCTGAAAGTTTTTAACATAAGTTTCCAAAGAAATGATTAAGTAGAACCCATGTAAGTGTAATTACATGTAATTCGTTTAAGTACAGTTCTCTCCAGATCCAAGTAAAATGGCTAAGTAATGGTCATTTAGAGTCCTTCAGATGAATGAAAATGTAGACAAGTGTTGTATGTGCCAGAACAAACATTTTCTATAATCGAATGTACTTATTTTCAGTTCCAATTTGCACCAAGTTAGGCTTTTTTTTTTTGTTAAATGAGAAGCAAGTTCAGCAGTGTTCATCAGGATTGCTTGGTGTCTTGGTCTGTTTGGGCTGCTATAACAAAATACTATAGACTTGGTAGCTTGTAAACAACAGAAGTTTATTGCTCACAGTCTGGAGCCTGGAAGTCTGAGATCAGGGTGCCAGCCTGGTTGGGTGAGTACTCTCTTTCCTCTTCTGGATAACAGACTGCTGACTGACTGCTTTCTGTGTCCTCCCAGGGCTGAAGAGGCAAGAGAGTTCTCTGGGGGCCTCTTTCATAAAGGCACTAATCCCATTCATGAAGGCTCTGCCCTCATGGTCTAAGGCCCCCCAAAGACCCCACCTGATACCATTACTTTGGGCATTAGGATTTCAACGTAGGAATTTGGGGAGGAACACAAACCAGGCCATAGAACTTGGCCAGAGCTTCTAAAGTAATGGATGGAGTTCTATTATCCCTCCCTCAATGTCTCTCAAAACTGCCATTGTGAAATGGATATGGAATAAAACCAGCAGTCCTCAGTAAATCCTTGTTGTTTAGTCACTAAGTCATGTCCAACTCTTTGCGACCCTGTGGACTGTAACCTGCCAGGCTCCTCTATCCATGGGATTTCCCAGGCAAGAATACTGGAGTGGGTTACCATTTCTTTCTCCAGGGAATCCAAGAACAAATCCATGTCTCCTGCATTGGCAGGCGGATTCTTTACTGCTGATCCACCAGGGAAGCTAGTTAGTCCTTAGAAGGGGATTAAGTCGCTTGGTGGATGCTGCTCTTCGCTGAATTTTCCCAAAGGTGACTGACCTCTTCTGGGCCACCAGAGTAGAGAGGATACAGACTCAGAGTAATAGTCGTTTTGTCCTGCTGGGCTCTCACACTTTTTCATGTTAAAGAATACCATTTGACTGATAGTTAAGTTTAGAAAGACGATAGATATGGTTGCCCCGAGACATGTGTTTTTCTTTTGACTGAATGTCTGCAATAACAATTCTAATAGAAAAGACTTTTCAGATGAGACAGTGAATGGGAGAAGTGGGCTGAGGAGATCAGGGAAAGTATTGTTCCTGGAGTATTATTTCTTTTCCTACCTTGTCATACTGATTATTAGAGATCATTCCATTTTGGCTCTTGTTTCATGATTTTACATGTGGAGTGGCTCAGATGTGGGGGTTCAGGGAACAAGTGAGGGCATCCACTAGGGCTGCACCATGTTGAGCAGCTGTTTCAACTGTTATTTGATTTTTTATTTATTTGGCCACGTTGCCGCATGTGGGATCTTAGTTCCCCCTGCAGTGGAAGCATGGAGTCCTAACCACTGCACTGTTAGGGAATTCCCATGGGAATTTTAGAGCAGATTTTATTCACTGCTTTTTTTTTTTCTTTTGTTTATTTTTTGCTTTTTTTCTGGAATTGTACAGCATGAAAAGATGATGAAAACATATCATGGAGTGTTGGGAAATATTGTAGAGAACATATTTTAAGCCTTGTTTTGTTTGCTGGGGAGGAAACGTCTTAAAGTGTTAAAATAGTGTTGTCTTTCTGATTGGAGAGGAAGGAATGAAAAAGAGATTTGATTATCTTTCCTGGTGAGTTAGCTGTATTGGAATGGAATTTTTGGAGATGTGAATCTCTGGTTTTGCTCAGGTATGTGAATGGCAGTTAATGAACAGACATTGCCTGCCTGCAGAAGGCAGGATGCTGTGCTAGGCACTCAAAGTGATACCACCAAGATGGATAACTGATTCTCAGAAAGGGATCAGATACCCAGTCTACTCTAATGGAAGACCCTTCATGGTTAGAGGGCCATACACAGAGTGCAGAGAGAGGGCTTTCAAAGCTGAGAAGCACTGCTCACAGGTCCCCTTATATAAATAATTTCACTCGTGTCACCCTAATCATAAAACCACAGATCTGTTTTCTGCTGAGTGTTCTCTGTGAATATCCGAGGTATAATTAACATAAAATTCACCTTTCTTGTGTTTCTGAACTTCAAGTTTCCTAGGAATTTGCCAGAATACCAGTCATCTTTACTTGTAAGTAAGTGTTAGTCGCTCAGTCATGTTCGACTCTTTTCGACTCCATTGACCGTAGCCTGCCAGGCTCTTCCATCCCTGGGATTTTCCAGGCAAGAATACTGGAGTGGGTTGCCAGTTCCTTCTCCAGGGGATCTTCCAGACCCAGGGATCAGACCTGGGTTTCCTATATTGCAGGCAGACGCTTTACCAGGGAAGCCCACTTGTAAGTAAAGATTTGTGTATTTCATATTAAACATCGGTGAGTTACTTTGACTCTGGCTCCTTATTTAGAATTTCATCATTCAATTCAGTTCTTAAAATTTTGAGAGAAGGCAGATTTTGGCTACTTGGTTGTTCTGAGGTCCTCAGGCTCCTTTTTTAGCTGTCAGTTGATGGTTTATACCGAAGCTTCTTAAGAATTTTATTCCTGCTTTCCGTAGATTTTAACAAAGTGTGGCTGGGCCACAGATGTGGTGTTGGTTTCTCATAAATGACTTTGTTCTAAGGAAAGGTAGTTGTTATATTACTCCTCCAAGTTAAACCAATCCCCATCATACTCTCCTTCCTAGGTGAGAAGAACACTTAGCAAGGATTTTTTGAGCTAGCCTTGTCTGAGAGTGGTCAAACCAAATTCCAGACCACATTCTAAGTAATTGTATTTCTCTTCACTTGAAATAAAAAAAGCATACCTTAGCAATTTACTATGTGTAAAATAAACTACAAGGATATATTGTGTAGCATAGAGAATTCAGCCAGTGTTTTATAATAATTACAGAGTATAACCTTTAAAAATTGGAATCACAAAAAAATAAATTTTTTTTAAAAAATTGTAAATCACTGTGTTGTACATCCAAAACTTACACAATATTGTGTATCAGCTATCCTTCAATTTATTTAAAAAAGTTCATACCT